GATAAGCATGACATAAAAACAAATTTTATATTTCCAAGATCACTGCTTTTATTATTTATACTCTGGTGAAGGAGAAAATCCCTGGAAATATTCATTTTTAGGAGGGGGTTCGCGAGACTTGACATTTTAGTGAAAGGGGTTGACAGGTTGTTAAAGTTTGGGAACCACTGTTCTAGAGGGTTATGTCTCCTATAAATAGAAGAACAGGAGGACTTGTGGCACCTTAGAGACTAACAAATTTATTAGAGCATAAGCTTTCGTGGACTACAGCCCACTTCTTCCTATAAATAATCCACTAGGGGGCAGTGGTCACTTCCCAATTCATTATTTAGCCATGCCAACAATGATGATATATATATATATAAGTAAGTAGGACCCTACTTGAATCATGGGATGACCTTCAAATATTTGCAGCTGAGTTTCAGACAAGATGTGGAAAATCACAGAAAAGTATTAATGGACCTTTATTAATAGCAGTAATTTGGAAAAGCCAGAGTAGATCTATTTGTTTAAGAAAAAAATTGCTGGAATGATATCCACACGCAAGTATTATGTTGTGCCTGCTAATTTTTTGATAGCCAGACATTTTGCTGCAGCTTTTTTACAGTCATTAAAACAAAAGTGACCGGTACAATAAAAAATTCAGTAGTCTTAAAACAACTGCTGTAGAAATCGAGTCCAGTCACTTTAGCCTTTTACATTTTGCAGGCATTGAATGTTAGAGCAGTACTAACTGCATATTCAAAATGTATGCAAAATTCTGGATTATGCAAAGTAAGCTCATTAAAATCAAATTTGCGGTGGAAGCCAAATATTGCAGGTTCCACAATTTCCGCAATATCGTGAATGAAGTAGGGCTATATATATCAGTTTCTCCTTTTCTATAATAAGGCACCCCTTTACATGTGATTTGCCTGGTGAAACTTATTACTGTTGGAACAACTGCAGCACAGTTTCTGACGTACAGAGGAAAAGTCCAATAGATTTGGGATCTGAAAATGAAGGTAAAACTATTCGGCGCCAAAGCTGTGATTCAACAAGGCACTTGAGTATAATCAGGATGGAGCTTTGCTGTGCACATAAATAAAATCAAAGGACACCAGGCAGTTGAATTGCTAATGCTATGTGTCAATTTACATCATATTCAGCACTCTGATTTTGGGGATGCTCCACCACCTGTTGCAATCAATGGAAAAATCAGGGAGTCAGGACTCCTGGGTTCTCCTTCCGTTACTACCACTGATTCACTGGGATCTCAGCAAAAAGTCACCTACTATGACATCAGCTTCAGTGGCAGTTGGACTTACATGCACCAGATCATGACCACGTACGTACAAATGCTCCTGGTCGGCACGTTTAAGAGATTTGAGGAGGCTAAGACTCCCCAAAATAAAAGAGGCTGGCAAATGTCAGATGTGGGTCACCTCTTTTTGGAGGTGCACCGGCCTGCCACCTTTGCGCCCTGGGAGCAGGAGAGCTGAAAGCTCCCTAGAAGTGAGGAGGCCACTGGCACCCGGACCCATGGCCCTGCCCCCCCCGCTCCGCCCCGTCCCTCCCCCGTGAGACCCTGCCTGTGCTCCATCCCTCCTCCCGTGGCCCTACCCATGCCCTGCCCCAAGGCCCCGCCCTTGCTCCGCCTCTTTCCGCCCCCACTCTGCTTCTTCCCCCAAGGCCCTGCCCGCCGCTTGTGCCGCTCCACTTCCTCCCCCATGTCACTCGCCCTTAAGGCAAGAAAAAAGTGGGAGGGCATAGCCCTCCATTTTTAAAATTGGCAGGGGTGGGGCTGTAGGGGAAGAGGCGGAGCGAGGGCGGGGCCTTGGAGGGAAGCAGCAGAGTGGGGCAGGGCCTCGGGGGAAGAGGCCGGGTGGGCCAAGGCCTTGGGGAGGAGTGCAGGTTTGGCCACGGGGAGGGGAGGGGGGGAAGGGGTGGAGCGCAGGCAGGGCCTCAAAGGGGGAGGGGTGAATCAGGGGGCGGGACCACAGTCCAGGTGCTGGTGGCCCCCCACTTCTCGGAAACTTCCAGCGCTCCTGGAAGTAGCCTCCCCAAACAAAAGACTCATGCGTCGTCTATGCAGATGCTCATCAGTAGGGATTGAGCTTGAGACGTTTATGGAGCTACTCCTGTAGTTAGGAGTAAGTACCAGGCTGTTATAGTCACTGGTGCCAATCACTATAGGGAGACATAACCACATGTACTAAACTGGCAATTACATGTGCAGTTTTTTTGCAATTCCACTGAAGGGTCTTGCCTCCTATATGAGGCGTATACAGCAACCTACCGGATATCTTCACTGGACATTGCAGAATAGACTAGATTGAGCTTCACAACATTGTCTCTCAATAGCTGATCAACTGGGGCCTTACTGGCCATGGTGTGCTGAAACCCGGGAGCTACAGACTGAACAAAGGACCTCATAGTGTTGTCCAGCCACAGGACCTGTGAGTAACAACAGCAGCTAGTGAATTAACAGGGATATTCCTGAACAGCCCCTTGTCTTCTACATAGTCCCATAATTCAAGGAAAGAGGGGATCATGCAATGACATGCCAGGTACATTCAAACGCAGGTCAGATCTGATTCTGCAGTGGGTAAATTTAAAATAAAAACACACACTCAAATACTACAGCAATATGACTTAGACTGTTCTGTCAATGGGCCTGTGGAACTCCTTGCTACAGGAGGGCAGGCAGTCAGTTACTGTATCTGGATCTTTAAAAGCACTGGATAATTTTACAGACCAATCTTTGTATTTATACCTGCTAAAATAAGGGAAATCAAATGCAGTACCTCAGAGGATGATCACCACAGGTGTCAGGCAGGAACCCGAATCCCCCTGCTGCAGTAAAGCAGTGCACATCTAGCCATGCACATTACAGGGATTTTAACCTCTCCCAGGAGCCTCAGACACTGATCATTAACAGAAGCTACATTTGTCAGAAACTTGGTAGCACCCTCCATCCAAAGCTCTCTGTGCACTTCAGCCCCCACACAGCCTGCTCAGATGGGTAACTATTGAGTTTAGCCCCCACGCAGCCTGATGAGATGGACACCTATTGAAATATGTCTTTGGCTCCTTGGACGTTTGCACTTGTTATTGCTGCACACCACAGCCGTACCTAACTGCAAATGGCAAAAGCAGGGATAGAACCTGGATCCTCAGTCCCTTATCACACGAGGTCACGGAGAATCTCCATTAGCACTATAGGGCCTATGACACACGGGGAGTTCTAACCCCATACAGTAGATGGCAGCGGCAAACAGCTAGCTAATTCAGCATGTCATTCATATCCCAAAATGACAGGGAGGGGTGGCACAGGGCCGTGTGTACACAAACTTTGTAGCCATAAGTCTCAACAGGTGATGGCAACAGGGCTCGTAACCATGTCATTAAAGTGCTTAGCACAAAGGCCCCATCCACGCTAAAGCTTCCCCCAGTGGAGCTGCACCCAGGATGAATTACAGATCGGCGTCACTCCATTGAAGCTCATAGAGCTACACCCATTGTGAGCTGCACCAGCTGGGAACTGGCCCAACTACTGAGATCGTTTTGGGAGGGGCAGAGAGGCGCAATCTAAATCCCAGGGTCGCCCTTTCTGATTGTGTTACATGAACATGCGTCATGGAAGCCTGAGACTGCCTGGGGGTTCCTAGGTGCAATAGTAATAGAAATAATCAAGAAAAGATGAGGAGCAACATTTAAGGAGACCCACTGCTACAATGGCAATGCTACTCTGCAATCATGGGACCAGATCCTCAACTGGTGTAAATGGAGCTACACCAGTTTACACCAGCTGAGGATCTGGCCTTTGGTACAGAGCCCTTTACTGAGGGATCTCAAAGCAATTGGCAACCATTCATTCCGACTCAACACTTATCTTAAATCGTATAGCTAGCATGGGACTCGACTGCAGGACCCTACTCACACCTTCCCCCACGAGCAATCTCATTAAAATCAGTGGGATGATTTGAGATGTAACTATCCAGCATAGGGAAGGGTGTTACAATATGGCCTTGGGGAAATGCATTTTTATAATTGTGCTGGACTGGTCCCTGAGTCAACTAGTCACCAGCGGGAGAATAAAATTTAATGAGCTAAGTCTTTTGTTGGTGAAGTCCGTGGAACGATGCTGATTTATGAGGATCTGGCCCAAAACCTCGATTCTAAAAACCACAACAAAGAGGCGAGGGAGGAGTGACAGCCCCATACCAGATGAGGGTTAATCCCTGAGTCACGGATCACTTCCAGTGTTGTATTGATCCAGGTGTTCCTGTAAGGATGTTTCTCTGGAGGGCGGTAGAGATCAAATATCACAAGTTTATTCGCACTGTCTGCAAGTCTCAAGAAATTACTTAGCTTGTAAATTGACTGATTCATTGCCAGTTTTTGATCTGCACTTGACAGTGAGCCCATGCATGAAAATGGTGTGTCCTAAAAATAAATAAATACACAAGGAAATAAAAGTCAGGCCGAGTTAGCTGCATACAAACAGTTCCGGTTTCTCTAAGGGGGAACTAGGCTAACGTCGGCACTCAGTGGGATAAAAGAGTTCATTTTTCTTTGTTCCTCCTCTAGTTTTCATCTCCTATATGTCGCTGGTATAAACATATGAGTCTCCATGTTCTCTCCCTTAACCCATACTTACATTTTAACCCTGGTTCTTTGACTCTGTATATCAGTCTTGCAGCCACATTAAAAAAAAGCTGGACTGGGTTTGAGAAGGGATTAATTCTGCAGTTGCACTAAGGAGTAAACCATCAGGACATAAAAAGTGGGTGGACTTTCTCCCCTCCCCTGCCCCCTAGGGGTTGTGTCTGTGCCTTGAATGAATAGCTTAGATCTTCTTTCCTCCATCTCTGCTATGCAATTGCTAAGCCTGATAAAGAACCGCAGTTACATAAACTAGTAAACAAAAATACACTTCTCTGTTACTGCCTTCTGCATAATTATTGGGACTGATCCCAAGACTCCCATTGACTTCTGTGGGTTTTGGATCAGGACTATAGCACATATCCCTTCAAGTAGGCACTTTAAGAAAGACCTCTGAACAATCTTACCTTGAGGAACCACTTTCCTGCGTTCAGCTGTTCTAGGGCATCCCAGGAAAACAATGCAGCGTTCTGAGTGGAGTTACTGGGAAAGACCTCCCGGATGTTTGTTGTCCTCTGTAAGTTGCTGTCGTGCATCAGGAAGGGAATCCCATCATAGCTACGATAAAAGGAGAGGGCTCTTCACAACACGGACAACGTTCAAAACATGAGCACGGTACAGCAAGGCCAAAATTATACGTAGGGCCCTACCAAATTCACAGCCATGAAAAACGCGTCACAGACCGTGAAATCTGGTCTCGCCCCATGAAATCTGATCTTTTGTGTGCTTTTACCCTATACTATACAGATTTCACAGGGGAGACCAGTGTTTCTCAAATTGGGGGTCCTGATCCAAAAGGGAGTTGCAGGGGGATCGCAAGATTATTTTAGAGGCGTTACAGTATTGCCACCCTAACTTCTGCACTGCCTTCAGAGCTGGGCAGCTAGAGAGTGGCAGATGTTGGCTGGGCGCCCAGCTCTGAAGGCAGCACCGCTGCCAGCGGCACTGCAGAAGTAAGGAGAGCAATACCACAACTGCCCCCGAAAATAACCTTGTGACTCCCCCACACAACTCCTTTTTGGGTCAGGACCCCTACAATTACAACACAGTGAAATTTCAGATTTAAATAGCTGAAATCATGACATTTATGATTTTTAAAAGGCGTTGACTGTGAAATTGACCAAAATGGACCATGAATTTGGTAGGGCCCTAATTATACATGAAGGACATTAATAAAAGGACACCCTCTGGAAAACGACACCTCGAGTAGAATGTATTATCCCATAGGCAGTCACGTGGGACAGGACACTAGACTATACTATGTCTACATTGCAATCAGGAAAAAGAAGAACAGGAGTACTTGTGGCACCTTAGAGACTAACAAATTTAATTGCAATCAGGGGTGAGAATGCAGCATGTGTAGACATACCCAAGCTAGCTTTGATCTGGCTAGGTCAAACAACAGCAGTGAAGCCACAGCAGCATGGGCTACACAAGCCCATGTGGGACCCTGGGTAAATACTTGCATGGCTAACCCATGCAGCTGCCCCTACTGCCGTGGCTTCAATACTATTGTTATTCAAACTAGCTAGATTAAAGCAAGCTCAGGTAGTTCTAGATGTTTCAGCCATACCTCTGATTGCAGTGTAGACATACCCTGGGAGTCAGGAAACCTAGGTTCTATTCCCAGCTCTGCCACTGGCCTGCGAGGTAACCTTGGAGAGGTCACATCTCCCTGTGCCTCAGTTTCCCCATCAGTAAAACGGAAATAACAATACTTAGATCTGACATCTCAAGAAGAAATACAGCAATGACCATGTGCCAGGTTCTGTTCTAGCTCCCACTGGGGTAGTTCAGTCAATTTCAGTGGTGCAATGCTGGATTTACAGTGGTATAAGTGAGAGCTGAATTTTACCCTTTGCAAAGCCCTGACTCAGCTAAGCACTTGGGCTCGTGTTTCAGTGCTTTGCTGATTTGGGGGCCTATATTCATACCTTCCACAATGCTACATAAACACCGAAAAGCCGATCACCCTACCCAACAGTATAAGGGCAATGATTCCAGCTCGGAATGGCATATCAAGACCCTGGCAGTAACACAATGCTCTTGCATGCCTTTATAATTGCAAGCAACCTGCCTGTGCTCTCTGCGCCTCATCCAAATCCCACTGAGGTTTGTAAGATCAGTAGGATAGAGATCTGTCTTCTATGTGTTTTCTGTAATGTGTCAAACATACTCGGATGCACGATAAAGTAATTATTGTCTGTATCTGCTGTCTTATGCTTAGATTGTAAGCTCTTTAGGGCAGGTACCATCTCTTTGTTCTGTATTTTTGCACAGTGCCTATCACAATGGGCTTCTGGTCCATGACGAGGGCTCTTAGGCACTACATAATACAAATAATAATAAATCAATACCAAAGTCCCAGTGTGACAGTGGCAACAGGCCTGACATGCAATTGTGTCAAACGCTAGTTGATAAAGGATTGGATGTAACCCGTCAAGCGTTGATTGCCCATATCTGTGTCGTATCAAAGTGAAATCTTAGCCAGAGGAAGTTGCATACTGAGACACGGTGCTTGCCCCTTACCTAATTGTGACGTCTGTCTCAAGACCATCCCCACCGTGTTCAATTGTCTTCTGAAATGACATCTCCGTGTTTTCTGGAGCCAGCTAGGAAGATGACATAAAGGAATGCCAATTTCGACGAGCGCCAGATGACTCCCAAGGATACTTTCAGTTTCTTGGTAACCACCCCTGCTGCTCCGCCCCTCTGTGATAGCCAGTAAAGGTCACTTTGTCCAACAGCTGAAAATCTGTTTTACTTGCTTCATGCCTTTAGGTCCCATCAGGACTCTAGGCGCATCCAGCATCATTTACAAATCTCCTGGAGGGCAGGGCAGGGCAAGGCCCAAACCATCAAGCTCTTCAGTCAATCGATAACAGAGTAGGAGGCTTTGTTCAAGTTACATCCCTCCTTAAATCAGTACATCCAAGGCAGAGTTTGACTTCACCTCTGACCCTTCCTCTTTCTCTGTTGCTGTTGACAGCATCCCCACTCTTCCCATTATACAGGCTTGTAGCCTAGAGGTCAGCTTGGGCTATTTCATCACAAATCCAGGTTCTCACCAAATCATGGTGCTTCTTTTAAATGCCTTCCTTCCTCTCAGCTCCAACCACCAAGATGATAGTCTGCCCTCTAGTTATCTCAAGCCTTGACTACAATAACCTGCACCTCCCGGGCCTACCACTCAGCCACCCAACACATAGCCACCAAAATCATCTTTGCACCACATCTCTGCCTTCCTCCACCTACTTCACTGGCTTCTTATCTTCTTCCACACAATGTTTAAGCTTCTCATCATCACCTTAAACGGTCTTCCAGCTTCTGCCTCGTTCTTGTGCTGTGAACTATCCAGGGATAGTACTTTGCCCAAGAGTTACTCTGAACTGTTCCCCTTGTCTCCTTCGCTCACTTCCACACTACCCACAATGCCTGTGGTTTTTTTTTTACCCTAAATCGTTGGAAAACTCTGGTGCACTGATGGTGCTTGGTAATGAAATCATGAGGACTTTTTCTGCATGCAAATCCAAACCAAAATAGAGTCCCTTGATGCCGTCAGAGGCTGACTGCATAGCTCTTGGGGTGAGGGTGGGGAATCTGCAATACAGATCATGAAAGAATGATACCAAACATCTTCCCCCAGACCTACCATTGGTGCTCCTCTGTGTCCAATGAGGGCTGGTTTGGGCCCCAGAGTCCCCACCTCTCTGATGCAGGGAGAGTACATCCCCAGAGGTATCAAGAAAAGAAGGACAAGGATAGCCAGGTATGGACCAATAATTATTGCCTGAATCACTGAAAGAATGCAGAAGAGGAAGGCTAGAGTTAATTCATTTGATAACTTAGGAGTTTGCCCCAGGGCTTAACTTATATCAGAGCTGTTTGCCTCTTGGGCCAAGTCTGGTGTCCTGAAACACTAAATCCTTCCCATCAGTCAATCCCCTTTTCTGTACCCCATGCCTCTCTCCAAACTATGCCCTGTGCCAGTCTGTCTAGTGGTCAGAGCAGATAACTGGGATCCAGCCCTGCTGGGTCATATTTTTGGTTTGTCTCCTAACTTGCTGTGGCACCTTCAGGAAGTCACAGTCTGTGCCTCAGTTTCACTGTCTGTAAATATGGATGTAATAAGATTTACTTGGCTTCACAGGAAAGAGTCTGAGACGGTCAATGCTGTTTGCAGTAAAGGCGAAATATTATTCGTTGTTAGAGGGATGATATGGTAAGAGGCATTTAAAAGTTTCATTTACACTCAAAAGCAGGATGATGCAGTGAGGAGCTTTCTCTGCACAACTCTCTTTGTGCATCCTAGGGGGCGAACGCATCCCTTTGAATTCAGCTCCTTAACAATGGTTTTCCACAGCAGGATTCATTTTTATCTAGGTAGATTGGCCTGCTATGGATCTCAGCTCCATGGTTTTCCTCAGGCTGTGTAGTTCAGAAGTCTGCCTATCCACACATCTAGATGTGGCCCATCACCATGGCACCTGAGCACCTCAGTGTGCAACTATTTGGGGATTTTCACTAAAGATAAGAAAATAGCGCCTCTGAGAAGTTATTGCCTATGGACCAAGCTTCCCGTTAGGTACACTACTTTGGAGAGCATCCCATTCCCCACCCCAGGCATGCTGTCACAGTGAGACCGCTTTGGATGTGCCCTGTGGGGATTCCCACAAAGGCACCATACTGACTGAAATCCCTACAGTGCAGTGGAAGCTACATTCAAGCCAACCATGTCTGTGTTCCACATGGTCTCCCATCAGGAGGTTCTTATTGCAGAGAAGTAGAGTTGGGAGAGGTGGACCAGGAGTACATCATTTTAGATACAAATTAACATCTACTCTGAGGTATGTGGGTGTCAAACTGAATTGCACCGGTGAGAGCTGCAAAGATCAGGGGCTCCAGTGTGAATGTTCAACATCTGCATTTGCTTTGAATACTGTCGCTGAGTAATGCTCACAACATCCCTGGCAAGGAGGCAAATAAGTGTAACCGTTCTGCAGGAGATGAAGATGAGTCAGGGAGAAAGAGAGTGTGCCAGGGCCAGGATTCATACTCAGGAGTTATTGACACCTGGGCCTGCCCTTACACTCCTAGACAACACTTCTCTGAGCTGCACATCAGTCCTTGGAACATTCCAATAGAGTGGGGGAGGGAGGGGGGGGAAGTCTCCTCACTAGCACGTCAAGCTTCCCTGCCATACTAAGGGCTACACAAGGTGCCACAAGTACTCCTGTTCTTTTTACAAGGGACTACAGTCACTTGCTCCATCTCAGGTGGGTT